TAGCGTGTGCAAAAAATCAAGAACAAGGACCTAGCGTTCGCGAAATAGCAAGAACAAGGGCCTAGCATGTGCAAAAAAAAAAAAAACAAGGGTCTAGCATGTGCAAAATTGCAAGAACAAGGGCCTTGCGTGTGCAAAATTGCAAGAACAAAGGCCTAGCGCGTGCAAAATTGCAAGAACAAGGGCCTAGCAAGTGCGAAATAGCAAGAGCAAGGGCCTAGCGTGTGCAAAAAATCAAGAACAAGGACCTAGCGTTCGCGAAATAGCAAGAACAAGGGCCTAGCATGTGCAAAAAAAAAAAAAAAACAAGGGTCTAGCATGTGCAAAATTGCAAGAACAAGGGCCTAGCGTGTGCAAAAAAAAAAGAACAAGGGCATAGCGTGTGCAAAATAGCAAGAACAAGGGCCTAGCATGTGCAAAATAAAAAGAACAAGGGCCTAGCGTGTGCAAAATAGCAAGAACAAGGGTCTAGCGTGTGCAAATTTGCAAGAACAAGGGCCTAGCGAGTGCAAAATAGCAAGAGCAACGGCCTAGCATGTGCAAAAAATCAAGAACAAGGGCCTAGCGTTCGTGAAATTGCAAGAACAAGGGCCAAGCGTGTGCAAAATAAAAAGAACAAGGGCCTAGCATGTGCAAAATTGCAAGAACAAGGGCCAAGCGTGTGCAAAATAAAAAGAACAAGGGCATAGCGTGTGCAAAATAGCAAGAACAAGGGCTTAGCGTGTGCAAAATAAATAGAACAAGGGCCTAGCGTGTGCAAAATAAAAAAAACAAGGGCCTAGCGTGTGCAAAATTGCAAGAACAAGGGCCTAGCGTGTGCAAAATTGCAAGAATAAGGGCCTAGCAAGTGCAAAATAGCAAGAGCAAGGGCCTAGCGTGTGCAAAAAACCAAGAGCAAGGACCTAGCGTTCGTGAAATAGCAAGAACAAGGGCCTAGCGTGTGCAAAATAAAGAGAACAAGGGTCTAGCATGTGCAAAATTGCAAGAACAAGGGCCTAGCGTGTGCAAAATAAAAAGAACAAGGGCATAGCGTGTGCAAAATAGCAAGAACAAGGACCTAGCGTGTGCAAAATAAAAAGAACAAGGGTCTAGCATGTGCAAAATTGCAAGAACAAGGGCCTAGCATGTGCAAAATTGCAAGAACAAGGGCCAAGCGTGTGCAAAATAAAAAGAACAAGGGCATAGCGTGTGCAAAATATAAAGAACAAGGATCTAGCGTGTGCAAAATAAAAAGAACAAGGGCCTAGCGTGTGCAAAATTGCAAGAACAAGGGCCTAGCGTGTGCAAAATTGCAAAAACAAGGGCCTAGCGAGTGCAAAATAGCAAGAGCAAGGGCCAAGCGTGTGCAAAAAATCAAGAACAAGGGCCTAGTCTTCGCGAAATAGCAAGAACAAGGGCCTAGCATGTGCAAAGTAAAAAGAACAAGGGTTTAGCATGTGCAAAATTGCAAGAACAAGGGCCTAGCATGTGCAAAATAAAAAGAACAAGGGCATAGCGTGTGAAAAATAAAAAGAACAAGAGCATAGCGTGTGCAAAATAACAAGAACAAAGGCCTAGCGTGTGCAAAATATAAAGATTAAGGGCCAAGCGTGTGCAAAATTGCAAGAACAAGGGCCTAGCATGTGCAATATTGCAATAACAAGGGCCTAGCGAGTGCAAAATAGCAAGAGCAAGGGCCTAGCGTGTGCAAAACATCAAGAACAAGGGCCTAGCGTTCGCGAAAAAGCAAGAACAAGGGCCTAGCGTGTGCAAAATAAAAAGAACAATGGCCTAGCGTGTGCAAAAATGCAAGAACAAGGGCCTAGCGTGTGCAAAATTGCAAGAACAAGGGCCTAGCGAGTGCAAAATAGCAAGAGCAAGGGCCTAGCGTGTGCAAAAAATCAAGAACAAGGGCCTAGCGTTCGCGAAATAGCAAGAATAAGGGACTAGCATGTGCAAAATAAAAAGAACAAGGGTCTAGCATGTGCAAAATTGCAAGAACAAGGGCCTAGCGTGTGCAAAATTGCAAGAACAAGGGCATAGCGTGTGCAAATTATAAAGAACAAGGGCATAGCGTGTGCAAAATTAACAGAACAAGGGCCTAGCGTGTGCAAAATAAAACGAACAAGGGCCTAGCGTGTGCAGAATTGCAAGAACAAGGGCATAGCGTGTGCAAAATAGCAAGAACAAGGGCCTAGCGTGTGCAAAATACAAAGAACAAGGGCCTAGCGTGTGCAAAATTGCAAGAACAAGGGCATATCGTGTGCAAAATTGCAAGAACAAGGGCCTAGCGAGTGCAAAAAAGCAAGAGCAAGGGCCTAGCGTGTGCAAAAAATCAAGAACAAGGGCCTAGCATTTGCGGAATTGCAAGAACAAGGGCCTAGCGTGTGCAAAATAAAACGAACAAGGGTCTAGCATGTGCAAAATTGCAAGAACAAAGGCCTAGCATGTGCAAAAAAAAAAAAAAAAAACAAGGGCATAGCGTGTGCAAACTAGCAAGAACAAGGGCCTAGCGTGTGCAAAATAAAAAGAACAAGGGCCTAGCGTGTGCAAAATAAAAAGACCAAAGGCCTAGCGTGTGCAAAATTGCAAGAACAAGGGCCTAGCGTATGCAAAATTGCAAGAACAAGGGCCAAGCTTGCCTGGTCTAGGATCTTTCCTGGTCCAGGAGCTTGCCTAGTCCTGGAGCGTACTTGGTCCACGAGTTTGCGTGGTTTAGGAGCTTGCCTGGTCCAGGAGCTTGCCTGGTCCAACAACTTGCCTGGTCCAAGAGCTTGCTTGGTCCATGAGTGTGCCTGGTCTAAGAGCTTGCCTAGTCCAGGAGCTTGCCTGGTCCAGGAGCTTGCTTGGTCCAGGAGCGTGCCTGGTCCACGATTCTCCCCAGTCCAGGAGCTTGACTGGTCCAGGAGCTTGCCTGGTCTAGGATCTTGCCTGGTCCAGGAGCTTGCCTGGTCCAGGAGCGTGCCTGGTCTATGTGTTTGCGTGGTTCAGGAGCTTGCGTGGTCCACGAGTTTGCCTGGTCCAAGATCTTGCCTGGTCCAGGAGCTTGCCTGGTCTAGGATCTTTCCTGGTCCAAGAGCTTGCCCAGTCCTGGAGCGTGCTTGGTCCACGAGTTTGAGTGGTCCAGGAGCTTGCCTGGTCTAGGAGCTTGCCTGGTCCAGGAGTTTGCCTGGTCCAGGAGCTTGCTTGGTCCAGGAGCTTGCGTGGTCCACGAGCTTGCGTGGTCTAGGAGCCTGCCTGGTCCAGGAGCTTGCCTGGTCTAACAGCTTGCCTGGTCAAAGAGTTTGCTTGGTCCACGAGCGTGAATGGTCCAAGAGCTTGCCCGGTCCAGGAGCTTGCCTGGTCTAGGAGCTTGCTTGGTCTAGGAGCGTGCCTGGTCCAGGAGCTTGCCTGGTCCAGGAGCTTGCCTGGTCTAGGATCTTTCCTGGTCCAGGAGCTTGCCTGGTCCTGGAGCGTGCTTGGTCCACGAGTTTGCGTGGTCTAGGAGCTTGCCTAGTCCAGGAGCTTGCCTGGTCCAGGAGCTTGCCTGGTCTAGGAGCATGCCTGGTTCACGAGCCTGCCCGGTCCAAGAGCTTGCCTGGTCCACGAGCGTGCCTCGTCCACGAGCGTGCCTGATCCAGGAGCTTGCCTGGTCTAGGAGCTTGTGTGGTCCAGGAGCTTGCGTGGTCTAGGAGCTTGCCTGGTCCAGGAGCTTGCCTGGTCAAAGAGCTTGCCTAGTCCAGGAGCTTGCTTGGTCCAGGAGCTTGCCTGGTCCAGTAGCTTCCCTGGTCTAGGAGCTTGCCTAGTATAGGAGCTTGCCTGGTCTAGGAGCTTGCTCGGTCCAGGAGCTTGCCTTGTTCAAGAGCTTGCCTAGTCCAGGAGCTTTCCTGGTCCAGGAGCGTGCTTCGTCCACAAGCCTGCCTGATCAAGGAGCTTGCCTGGTCCAAGAGCTTGCCTGGTCCAAGAGCTTGCCTGGTCCAAGAGCTTGCCTGGTCCAAGAGCTAGCTTGGTCTTGGAGCTTGCCTAGACCAGGAGCTTGCCTGGTCCAGGAGCTTGCCTGGTCCAGGAGCTTCCTTGGTCCAGAAGCTTGCCTGGTCCAAGAGCTTGCCTGGTCCAGGAGCGTGCCTGGTCCAAGAGCTTGCGTGGTCCAGGAGCTTGCCTGGTCCAAGAGATTGCCAGGTCCATGATTGAACCTGGTCCACGAGCGTGCCTGGTCCAGGAGATTGCCTGGTCAAAGAGCTTGCCTGGTCCAGGAGCTTGCCTCGTTCACAAGCCTGCCTGGTCTAAGAGCTTGCGTGGTCCACGAGCGTGCCTGGTCCACGAGTGTGCATGATCCAGGAGCTTGCTTGGTCCACGAGCTTGCCAGGTCCAGGGGCGTGCGTGGTCCAAGAGTGTGCCTGGTCCACGAGCGTTCCTGGTCGAGGAGCTTGCCTGGTCCAGGAGCTTGCCTGGTCCACGAGCGTGCCTAGTCCAGGAGCTTGCCTGGTCTAGGAGCTTGCCTGGTCCAGGAGCTTGCCTAGTTCAAGATCTTGCCTGGTCCAAGAGCTTGCCTGGTCCAGGAGCTAGCTGGTCCAGGAGCTTGCCAGGTCCAGGAGCTTGCTTGGTCCAGAAGCGTTCCTGGTCCAAGAGCTTGCCTGGTCTAGGAGCGTGCCTGGTCCAAGAGCTTTCGTGGTCCAGGAGCTAGCCTTGTCGAGGAGCTTGCCTGGTCTAGGAGCGTGCCAGGTCCAGAAGCGTGCCTGGTTCAGGAGCTTGCCTGGTCAAGGAGCTTGCCTGGTCCAGGAGCTTGCCTGGTCCATGAGCGTGTTTGGTCCACGATACTGCCTGGTCCAATAGCTTGCCTGGTTCAGGAACGTGCCTGGTCCACGAGCGTGCCTGGTCCAGGAGCTTGCCTGGTCGAGAAGCTTGCCTGGTCCGGGAGCTTGCCTGGTCCAGGGGCCTGCCTCGTCCAGGAGCTTGCTTGGTCCAGAAGCCCGTCTGGCCTAAGAGCTTGCGTAGGCATGGAGCGTGCCTGGTCCAAGAACTTGCGTGGTCGAGGAGCTTGCTTAGTCCAAGAGCTTGCCTGGTCCAAGAGCGTCCACGTCCACGTCCACGTCCACGTTCATCTCCACGTCCACTTCCACGTCCACGTCCATGTCCACGTTCACGTCCATGTCCACGTCCACGTCTACGTCCATGTTTACGTCCACGTCCACGTCCACGTCCACGTCCACGTTCATCTCCACGTCCACGTCCACGTCCACGTCCATGTCCACGTCCACGTCTACGTCCATGTTCACGTCCACGTCCACGTCCAACTCCACGTCCACGTCAACGTCCACGTCCACGACCACGTCCACGTCCACGTCCACGTCCATGACAATGTCCACGTCTACGTCCACGTCCACGTCGAGGTCCACGTCCACGTCCACGTTCACGTCCATGTCTACGTCCACGTCTTCGTCCACGTCCATGTCCACGTCTACGTCCACGTCCATGTCCAAGTCCACGTCCACGTCCACGTCCACGTCCACTTCCATGTCCACGTCCACGTCCATGTCCACGTTCACGTCCATGTCCACGTCCACGTCCATGTCCATGTCCATGTCCACGTCCACGTCCACGTCCATGTCCACGTCCACGTCCACGTCCATGTCCACGTCCATGTCCACGTCCACGTCCATGTCCACGTCCATGTCCACGTCCATGTCCACGTCCATATCCACGTCCACGTCCACGTCCACGTCCATGTCCACGTCCACGTCCACGTCCACGTCCATGTCCACGTCCACGTCCATGTCCACGTCCACGTCCACGTCCAAGTCCTCCACGTCCATGCCACGTCCAGGTCCACGTCCACGTCCACGTCCATGTCCACGTCGACGTCCACGTCCACGTCCACGTCCACGTCCAGTCCACGTTCAAGTCCTCCACGTCCACGTCCACGTCCACGTCCACTCCACGTCCTTGTCCACGTCCACGTCAACGTCCATGTACACGTCCACGTCCACGACCACGTCCACGTCCACGTCCACGTCCACGACCACCTCCACGTCCACGTCCACGTCCACGTCCATGTCCACATCCACGTCCATGTCCACGTCCAAGTCCTCCACGTCCACGTCCATGTCCACGTCCACGTCCACGTCCACGACCACGTCCACGTCCACGTCCACGTCCACATCCATCTCCACGTCCATATCCACGTCCACGTCCACGTCCACGTCGACTTCCATGTCCATGTCCACGTCCACGTCCACGTCTACGTCCACGTCCATGTCCACGTCCATGTCCTCTACGTCCACGTCCACGTCCATGTCTACGTCCACGTCCATGTCCATGTCCACGTCCACGTCCATGCCACGTCCACGTCCATGTCCATGTCCACGTCCACGTCCACGTCCACATCCACGTCCACGTCCACGTCCACGTCCACGTCCATGTCCACGTCCAAGTCCTTCACGTCCACGTCCACGTCCACGTCCATGTCCACGTGCATGTCCACGTCCACGTCGATATCCACGTCCACGTCCATGCCACGTCCACGTCCATTTCCACGTCCATGTCCATGTCCACGTCCACGTCCACGTCCACGTCCACGTCCACGTCCATGTCCACGTCCACGTCCACGTCCACGTCCACGTCCAAGTCCTCCACGTCCATGCCACGTCCAGGTCCACGTCCACGTCCACGTCCACGTCCATGTCCACGTCGACGTCCACGTCCACGTCCAGTCCACGTTCAAGTCCTCCACGTCCACGTCCACGTCCACTCCACGTCCTTGTCCACGTCCACGTCAACGTCCATGTCCATGTCGACGTCCACGACCACGTCCACGTCCACATCCACGTCCACGACCACCTCCACGTCCACGTCCACGTCCACGTCCATGTCCATGTCCACGTCCATGTCCACGTCCAAGTCCTCCACGTCCACATCTATGTCCACGTCCACGTCCACAACCACGTCCACGTCCACGTCCACGTCCACATCCATCTCCACGTCCATGTCCACGTCCACGTCCACGTCCTCTTCCATGTCCATGTCCACGTCCACGTCCACGTCTACGTCCACGTCCATGTCCACGTCCATGTCCTCTACGTCCACGTCCACGTCCATGTCTACGTCCACATCCACGTCCATGTCCACGTCCACGTCCATGCCACGTCCACGTCCATGTCCATGTCCACGTCCACGTCCACGTCCACATCCACGTCCACGTCCACGTCCACGTCCATGTCCACGTCCACGTCCACGTCTACGTCCATGTTCACGTCTATGTCCCCACGTCCACGTCCACGTCCATGTCCACGTCCATGTCCACGTCCACGTCCATGTCCACGTTCATGTCCATGTCCACGTCCACATTTATGTCCACGTCCACCTCCACGTCCACGTCCATGTCCACGTCCACGTCCATGTCCACGTCCACGTCTATGTCCACGTCCATGTCCACGTCCATCTCCACGTCCACGTCCACATCCACGTCCACGTCCACGTCTATGTCCATGTCCACGTCCAGGTCGATGTCCACGTCCACGTCCACATCCACGTCCACCTCCACGTCCACGTCCACGTCCATGTCGACGTCCACGTCCACGTCCACGTCCATGTCCACGTCCACGTCGACGTCCATGTCCACGTCCTTGTCCACGTCCATGTCCACGTCCTCGTCCACCTCCATGTCCACGTCCACGTCCACGTCCATGTCCACGTCCACGTCCACGTCTACGTTCATGTCCATGTCTACGTCCACGTCCATGTCCACGTCCATGTCCACGTCCACGTCCATGTCCACGTCGACGTCCACGTCCACATCCACGTCCACGTCCAGTCCACGTTCAAGTCCTCCACGTCCACGTCCACGTCCACGTCCATGTCCACGTCCACGTCCACGACGACGTCCACGTCCACATCCACGTCCACGTCCACGTCCACGTCCACCTCCACGTCCACGTCCATGTCGACGTCCACGTCCACGTCCACGTCCCTGTCCACGTCCACGTCCACGTCCATGTCCACGTCCACGTCCATGTCGACGTCCACGTCCACGTCCATGTCCACGTCCACGTCTACGTCTACGTCCATCCACGTTCACGTCCACAACCACGTCCACATCCACGTCCACATCCACGTCCACGTCCATGTCCATGTCCACGTCCACGTCTACGTCCACGTCCATGTCCACGTCCATGTCCTCTACGTCCACGCCCACGTCTATGTCTACGTCCACGTCCACGTCCATGTCCACGTCCATGTCCATGCCACGTCCACGTCCATGTCCATGTCCACGTCCACGTCCACGTCCACATCCACGTCCACGTCCACGTCCACGTCCATGTCCACGTCCAAGTCCTTCACGTCCACGTCCACGTCCATATCCACGTCCACGTCCACGTCTACGTCCACGTTCACGTCTATGTCCCCACGTCCACGTCCACGTCAACGTCCATGTCCACGTCCATGTCCACGTCCACGTCCATGTCCACGTTCATGTCCATGTCCACGTCCACGTCCATGTCCACGTCCACCTCCACGTCCACGTCCACGTCCATGTCCACATCCACGTCCATGTCCACGTCCACGTCCACGTCCATGTCCACGTCCACGTCCACGTCCACGTCTATGTCCACGTCCACATCCACGTCCACGTACACGTACACGTCCACGTCCACGTCCATGTCCACGTCCACGTCCACGTCTACGTCCACGTCCACGTCCATGTCCACGTCCACGTCTACGTCCACGTCCATGTCCACGTCCATCTCCACGTCCATGTCCACATCCACGTCCACGTCCACGTCCATGTCTACGTCCACGTCCAGGTCGATGTCCACGTCCACGTCCACGTCCACGTCCACGTCCACCTCCACGTCCACGTCCATGTCGACATCCACGTCCACGTCCACGTCCATGTCCACGTCCACGTCTATGTCCACGTCCTTGTCCACGTCCATGTCCACGTCCTCGTCCACCTCCATGTCCACGTCCACGTCCACGTCCACGTCTACGTTCATGTCCACGTCCACGTCCACGTCCATGTCCACGTCCACGTCCATGTCCACGTCCATGTCCACGTCGACGTCCACGTCCACGTCCTCGTCCAGTCCACGTTTAAGTCCTCCACGTCCACGTCCACGTCCACGTCCATGTCCACGTCCACATCCACGACCACGTCCACGTCCACATCCATGTCCACGTCCACGTCCATGTCCACGTCCACGTCCACGTCCACCTCCACGTCCACGTCCATGTCGACGTCCACGTCCACGTCCACGTCCCTGTCCACGTCCACCTCCATGTCCATGCCACGTCTATGTCGACGTCCTCGTCCACGTCCACGTCCCTGTCCACGTCCACGTCCACGTCCACTTCCATCCACGTTCACGTCCACATCCACGTCCACGTCTACGTCCACGTCCACGTCCATGTCCACGTCCTCGTCCACGTCCATGTCCACGTCCACGTCCACCTCCATGTCCACGTCCACGTCCACGTCCATGTCCACGTCCACGTCCACGTCCACGTTCATGTCCACGTCCACGTCCACGTCCATGTCGACGTCCACGTCCACGTCCACGTCCATGTCCACGTCCACGTCGACGTCCATGTCCACGTCCTTGTCCACGTCCATGTCCACGTCCTCGTCCACCTCCATGTCCACGTCCACGTCCACGTCCATGTCCACGTCCACGTCCACGTCTACGTTCATGTCCATGTCTACGTCCACGTCCATGTCCACGTCCATGTCCACGTCCACGTCCATGTCCACGTCGACGTCCACGTCCACATCCACGTCCACGTCCAGTCCACGTTCAAGTCCTCCACGTCCACGTCCACGTCCACGTCCATGTCCACGTCCACGTCCACGACGACGTCCACGTCCACATCCACGTCCACGTCCACGTCCACGTCCACCTCCACGTCCACGTCCATGTCGACGTCCACGTCCACGTCCACGTCCCTGTCCACGTCCACGTCCACGTCCATGTCCACGTCCACGTCCATGTCGACGTCCACGTCCACGTCCATGTCCACGTCCACGTCTACGTCTACGTCCATCCACGTTCACGTCCACAACCACGTCCACATCCACGTCCACATCCACGTCCACGTCCATGTCCATGTCCACGTCCACGTCTACGTCCACGTCCATGTCCACGTCCATGTCCTCTACGTCCACGCCCACGTCTATGTCTACGTCCACGTCCACGTCCATGTCCACGTCCATGTCCATGCCACGTCCACGTCCATGTCCATGTCCACGTCCACGTCCACGTCCACATCCACGTCCACGTCCACGTCCACGTCCATGTCCACGTCCAAGTCCTTCACGTCCACGTCCACGTCCATATCCACGTCCACGTCCACGTCTACGTCCACGTTCACGTCTATGTCCCCACGTCCACGTCCACGTCAACGTCCATGTCCACGTCCATGTCCACGTCCACGTCCATGTCCACGTTCATGTCCATGTCCACGTCCACGTCCATGTCCACGTCCACCTCCACGTCCACGTCCACGTCCATGTCCACATCCACGTCCATGTCCACGTCCACGTCCACGTCCATGTCCACGTCCACGTCCACGTCCACGTCTATGTCCACGTCCACATCCACGTCCACGTACACGTACACGTCCACGTCCACGTCCATGTCCACGTCCACGTCCACGTCTACGTCCACGTCCACGTCCATGTCCACGTCCACGTCTACGTCCACGTCCATGTCCACGTCCATCTCCACGTCCATGTCCACATCCACGTCCACGTCCACGTCCATGTCTACGTCCACGTCCAGGTCGATGTCCACGTCCACGTCCACGTCCACGTCCACGTCCACCTCCACGTCCACGTCCATGTCGACATCCACGTCCACGTCCACGTCCATGTCCACGTCCACGTCTATGTCCACGTCCTTGTCCACGTCCATGTCCACGTCCTCGTCCACCTCCATGTCCACGTCCACGTCCACGTCCACGTCTACGTTCATGTCCACGTCCACGTCCACGTCCATGTCCACGTCCACGTCCATGTCCACGTCCATGTCCACGTCGACGTCCACGTCCACGTCCTCGTCCAGTCCACGTTTAAGTCCTCCACGTCCACGTCCACGTCCACGTCCATGTCCACGTCCACATCCACGACCACGTCCACGTCCACATCCATGTCCACGTCCACGTCCATGTCCACGTCCACGTCCACGTCCACCTCCACGTCCACGTCCATGTCGACGTCCACGTCCACGTCCACGTCCCTGTCCACGTCCACCTCCATGTCCATGCCACGTCTATGTCGACGTCCTCGTCCACGTCCACGTCCCTGTCCACGTCCACGTCCACGTCCACTTCCATCCACGTTCACGTCCACATCCACGTCCACGTCTACGTCCACGTCCACGTCCATGTCCACGTCCTCGTCCACGTCCATGTCCACGTCCACGTCCACCTCCATGTCCACGTCCACGTCCACGTCCATGTCCACGTCCACGTCCACGTCCACGTTCATGTCCACGTCCACGTCCACGTCCATGTCCACGTCCACGTCCACGTCCATGTCCACGTCCACGTCCACGTCCACGTCCACGTCCACGTCCAGTCCACGTTCAAGTCCTCCACGTCCACGTCCACGTTCAGGTCCACGTCCACGTCCACGACCACGTCCACGTCCACGTCCACGTCCATGTCCACGTCCACGTCCACGTCCACGTCCACCTCCACGTCCACGTCCATGTCGACGTCCACGTCCACGTCCACGTCCCTGTCCACGTCGACGTCCATGTCCACGTCCATGTCTACGTCCAAGTCCACATCCACGTCCACGTCCACGTCTACGTCCACGTCCACGACCACGTCCATGTCCACGTCCACGTCCACGTCCACGTCCACGTCCAAGTCCTCCATGTCCACGACCACGTCCATGTCCACGTCCACGTCAACATCCACGTCCATGTCCACGTCCACGTCCATGTCCACGTCCACGTCCACCTCCATGTCCACGTCCACGTCCACGTCCACAACCACGTCCACGTCCACGTCCACGTCCACATCCACGTCCCTGTCCATGTCCATGTCCACGTCCACGTCCATGTCGACGTCCACGTCCACGTCCACGTCCCTGTCCACGTCCACGTCCACGTCCATGTCCACGTCCATGTCCACGTCCACGTCCACGTCCACGTCCATGTCCACGTCCACGTCCACGTCCATGACCACGTCCACGTCCACGTCCACGTCCACGTCCAGGTCCATGTCCACGTCGACGTCCACGTCCACGTCCACGTCCACGTCGACGTCCATGTCCACGTCCACGTCCACGACCACGTCCACGTTCACGTCCACGTCCACGTCCACGTCCATGTCCACGTCCACGTCCACGTCCACGTCCACGTCCATGTCCACGTCCATGTCCATGTCCACGTCCACGTCCATGTCCACGTCCACGTCCACGTCCACGTCCACTTCCACGTCCATGTCCATGTCCACGTCCAAGTCCACGTCCACGTCCACGTCCACGTCCACGTCCATGTCCACGTCCACGTCCACGTCCACGACCACGTCCACGGCCAAGTCCACGTCCATGTCCACGTCCATGTCCACGTCCACGTCCACGTCCATGTCCACGTCCACGTCCACGACCACTTCCATGTCCACGTCCATGTCCACGTCCACGTCCACGTCCACGTCCACGTCCACGTCCATGTCCACTTCCATGTCCGCATCCACGTCCACGTCCACGTCCATGGCCACGTCCACGTCCATGTCCACGTCCACGTACATGTCCACGTCCAAGTCCACGTTCAAGTCCTCCACGTCCACGTCCACGTCCATGTCCACGTCCACGTCCACGACCACGTCCACGTCCACGTCCATGTACAGTTCCACGTCCACGTCCATGTCCACGTCCACCTCCACGTCCACGTCCATGTCGACGTCCACGTCCACGTCCACGTCCCTGTCCACGTCCACGTCCAAATCCACGCCCACGTCCATGTCCACGTCCATGTCCACGTCCATATCCACGTCCACGTCCACGTCCACGTCCACGTCCATGTCCACGTCCACGTCCACGTCCACGTCCACGTCCATGTCCACGTGGACGTCCACGTCCACGTCCACGTCCACGTCGAGTCCACGTTCAAGTCCTCCAAGTCCACGTCCACGTCCACGTCCATGTCCACGTCCACGTCTACGACCACGTCCACGTCCACGTCCACGTCCATGTCCACGTCCATGTCCACGTCCACGTCCACGTCCACGACCACGTCCACATCCACGTCCATGTCCACGTCCACGTCCATGTCCACGTCCATGTCCACGTCCATGTCCACGTCCACGTCCATGTCCACGTTCATGTCCATGTCCACGTCCACGTCCATGTCCACGTCCACCTCCACGTCCACGTCCATGTCCACGTCCACGTCCACGACCACTTCCATGTCCACGTCCATGTCCACGTCCACGTCCACGTCCACGTCCACGTCCATGTCCACTTCCATGTCCGCGTCCACGTCCACGTCCACGTCCATGTCCACGTCCACGTCCATGTCCACGTAAACATCCACGTCCACGTCCCCGTCCACGTCCACGTCCACGTCCACGTCCACGTCCATGTCCACGTCCACGTCCACGTCTACGTCCACGTCCACGTCCACGTCCATGTCCACGTCCACGTCCACGTCCACGTCCACGACCACGTCCACGTCCACGTCCACGTCCATGTCCACGTCCATGTCCACGTCCACGTCCACGTCCATGTCCACGTCCATGTCCACGTCCACGTCCATGTCCACGTCCACGTCCATGTCGACGTCAACGTCCACGTCCACGTCCCTGTCCACGTCCACGTCCATGTCCACATCCACGTCCATTTCCACGTCCACGTCCACCTCCATGTCCACGTCCACGACCATGTCTACGTCCACGTCCACGTCCACGTCCACGTCTACGACCACGACCACGTCCACGTCCACGTCCACGTCTACGTCGATGTCCACGTCCACGTCCACGTCCATGTCCACGTCCACGTCCACGTCTACGTCCACGTCCACGTCCATGTCCACGTCCACGTCTACGTCCACGTCCATGTCCACGTCCATCTCCACGTCCATGTCCACATCCACGTCCACGTCCACGTCCATGTCTACGTCCACGTCCAGGTCGATGTCCACGTCCACGTCCACGTCCACGTCCACGTCCACCTCCACGTCCACGTCCATGTCGACATCCACGTCCACGTCCACGTCCATGTCCACGTCCACGTCTATGTCCACGTCCTTGTCCACGTCCATGTCCACGTCCTCGTCCACCTCCATGTCCACGTCCACGTCCACGTCCACGTCTACGTTCATGTCCACGTCCACGTCCACGTCCATGTCCACGTCCACGTCCATGTCCACGTCCATGTCCACGTCGACGTCCACGTCCACGTCCTCGTCCAGTCCACGTTTAAGTCCTCCACGTCCACGTCCACGTCCACGTCCATGTCCACGTCCACATCCACGACCACGTCCACGTCCACATCCATGTCCACGTCCACGTCCATGTCCACGTCCACGTCCACGTCCACCTCCACGTCCACGTCCATGTCGACGTCCACGTCCACGTCCACGTCCCTGTCCACGTCCACCTCCATGTCCATGCCACGTCTATGTCGACGTCCTCGTCCACGTCCACGTCCCTGTCCACGTCCACGTCCACGTCCACTTCCATCCACGTTCACGTCCACATCCACGTCCACGTCTACGTCCACGTCCACGTCCATGTCCACGTCCTCGTCCACGTCCATGTCCACGTCCACGTCCACCTCCATGTCCACGTCCACGTCCACGTCCATGTCCACGTCCACGTCCACGTCCACGTTCATGTCCACGTCCACGTCCACGTCCATGTCCACGTCCACGTCCACGTCCATGTCCACGTCCACGTCCACGTCCACGTCCACGTCCACGTCCAGTCCACGTTCAAGTCCTCCACGTCCACGTCCACGTTCAGGTCCACGTCCACGTCCACGACCACGTCCACGTCCACGTCCACGTCCATGTCCACGTCCACGTCCACGTCCACGTCCACCTCCACGTCCACGTCCATGTCGACGTCCACGTCCACGTCCACGTCCCTGTCCACGTCGACGTCCATGTCCACGTCCATGTCTACGTCCAAGTCCACATCCACGTCCACGTCCACGTCTACGTCCACGTCCACGACCACGTCCATGTCCACGTCCACGTCCACGTCCACGTCCACGTCCAAGTCCTCCATGTCCACGACCACGTCCATGTCCACGTCCACGTCAACATCCACGTCCATGTCCACGTCCACGTCCATGTCCACGTCCACGTCCACCTCCATGTCCACGTCCACGTCCACGTCCACAACCACGTCCACGTCCACGTCCACGTCCACATCCACGTCCCTGTCCATGTCCATGTCCACGTCCACGTCCATGTCGACGTCCACGTCCACGTCCACGTCCCTGTCCACGTCCACGTCCACGTCCATGTCCACGTCCATGTCCACGTCCACGTCCACGTCCACGTCCATGTCCACGTCCACGTCCACGTCCATGACCACGTCCACGTCCACGTCCACGTCCACGTCCAGGTCCATGTCCACGTCGACGTCCACGTCCACGTCCACGTCCACGTCCACGTCGACGTCCATGTCCACGTCCACGTCCACGACCACGTCCACGTTCACGTCCACGTCCACGTCCACGTCCATGTCCACGTCCACGTCCACGTCCACGTCCACGTCCATGTCCACGTCCATGTCCATGTCCACGTCCACGTCCATGTCCACGTCCACGTCCACGTCCACGTCCACTTCCACGTCCATGTCCATGTCCACGTCCAAGTCCACGTCCACGTCCACGTCCACGTCCACGTCCATGTCCACGTCCACGTCCACGTCCACGACCACGTCCACGGCCAAGTCCACGTCCATGTCCACGTCCATGTCCACGTCCACGTCCACGTCCATGTCCACGTCCACGTCCACGACCACTTCCATGTCCACGTCCATGTCCACGTCCACGTCCACGTCCACGTCCACGTCCACGTCCATGTCCACTTCCATGTCCGCATCCACGTCCACGTCCACGTCCATGGCCACGTCCACGTCCATGTCCACGTCCACGTACATGTCCACGTCCAAGTCCACGTTCAAGTCCTCCACGTCCACGTCCACGTCCATGTCCACGTCCACGTCCACGACCACGTCCACGTCCACGTCCATGTACAGTTCCACGTCCACGTCCATGTCCACGTCCACCTCCACGTCCACGTCCATGTCGACGTCCACGTCCACGTCCACGTCCCTGTCCACGTCCACGTCCAAATCCACGCCCACGTCCATGTCCACGTCCATGTCCACGTCCATATCCACGTCCACGTCCACGTCCACGTCCACGTCCATGTCCACGTCCACGTCCACGTCCACGTCCACGTCCATGTCCACGTGGACGTCCACGTCCACGTCCACGTCCACGTCGAGTCCACGTTCAAGTCCTCCAAGTCCACGTCCACGTCCACGTCCATGTCCACGTCCACGTCTACGACCACGTCCACGTCCACGTCCACGTCCATGTCCACGTCCATGTCCACGTCCACGTCCACGTCCACGACCACGTCCACATCCACGTCCATGTCCACGTCCACGTCCATGTCCACGTCCATGTCCACGTCCATGTCCACGTCCACGTCCATGTCCACGTTCATGTCCATGTCCACGTCCACGTCCATGTCCACGTCCACCTCCACGTCCACGTCCATGTCCACGTCCACGTCCACGACCACTTCCATGTCCACGTCCATGTCCACGTCCACGTCCACGTCCACGTCCACGTCCATGTCCACTTCCATGTCCGCGTCCACGTCCACGTCCACGTCCATGTCCACGTCCACGTCCATGTCCACGTAAACATCCACGTCCACGTCCCCGTCCACGTCCACGTCCACGTCCACGTCCACGTCCATGTCCACGTCCACGTCCACGTCTACGTCCACGTCCACGTCCACGTCCATGTCCACGTCCACGTCCACGTCCACGTCCACGACCACGTCCACGTCCACGTCCACGTCCATGTCCACGTCCATGTCCACGTCCACGTCCACGTCCATGTCCACGTCCATGTCCACGTCCACGTCCATGTCCACGTCCACGTCCATGTCGACGTCAACGTCCACGTCCACGTCCCTGTCCACGTCCACGTCCATGTCCACATCCACGTCCATTTCCACGTCCACGTCCACCTCCATGTCCACGTCCACGACCATGTCTACGTCCACGTCCACGTCCACGTCCACGTCTACGACCACGACCACGTCCACGTCCACGTCCACGTCTACGTCGATGTCCACGTCCACGTCCACGACCACGTCCACGTCCATGTCCACGTCCACGTCCATGTCCACATCCACGTCCACGTCCACGTCTACTTCCATGTCCACGTCGATGTCCACGTCCACGTCCACGTCCATGTCCACGTCCACGTCCACGTCCACGTCCACGACCACGTCCACGTCCACGTCCATGTCCACGTCCCGTCCACGTCCACGTCCACGTCCATGTCCACGTCCACGTCCACGTCCACGTCCACGTCCACGTCCACGTCCACGACCATGTCCACGTCCATGTCCACGTCCACGTCCACGTCCAGGTCCACGTCCACGACCATGTCCACGTCCACATCCACGTCCATGTCCATGTCCACGTCCACGTCCATGTCCACATCCACGTCCACGTCCACGTCCATGTCCACGTCCTCGTCCACGTCCACGTCCACGTCCATGTCCACGTCCACGTCCACGTCCACGACCACGTCCACGTCCACGTCCACGTCCATGTCCACGTCCACGTCCACGTCCACATCCACGTCCACGTCCACGTCCATGTCCACGTCCACGTCCACTTTGACGTCCACGTCCATGTCCACTTCCACGTCTACGTCCACGTTCATGTCCACCTCCACGTCCACGTCCACGTCCATGTCCATCTCCACGTCCATGTCCACGTCCACGTCCACGTCCATGTCCACGTCCACGTCCACGTCCACATCCACGACCATGTCCACGTCCATGTCCACGTCCACGTCCACGTCCACTTCGACGTCCACGTCCATGTCCTCGTCCACGTCTACGTCCACGTCGACGTCCACGTCCATGTCCACGTCCACGTCCACGTCCACGTCCATGTCCACGACCACGTCCACGTCCACGTCCACGTCCACGACCATGTCCACGTCCACGACCACGTCCACGTCCACGTCCACGTCCACGTCCACGTCCACGTCGACTTCCACGTCCACGTCCACGTCCATGTCCACGTCCACGTCCATGTCCACGTCCACGTCCACGACCACGTCAACGTCCACGTCCATGTACAGGTCCACGTCCACGTCCATGTCCACGTCCACCTCCACGTCCACGTCCATGTCGACGTCCACGTCCACGTCCACGTCCCTGTCCACGTCCACGTCCAAATCCACGCCCACGTCCATGTCCACGTCCATGTCCACGTCCATATCCACGTCTACGTCCACGTCCACGTCCACATCCATGTCCACGTCCACGTCCACGTCCACGTCCACGTCCACGTCCACGTCCATGTCCACGTCCACGTCCATGTCCACGTCCAAGTCCTCCACATCCACGTCCACGTCCATGTCCACGTCCACGTCCACGTCCACGTCCATGTCCACGTCGACGTCCACGTCCACGTCCACGTCCAGTCCACGTTCAAGTCCTCCAAGTCCACGTCCACGTCCACGTCCATGTCCACGTCCACGTCTACGACCACGTCCACGTCCACGTCCACGTCCATGTCCACGTCCATGTCCACGTCCACGACCACGTCCACGTCCACGTCCACGTCCATGTCCACGTCCACGTCCATGTCCACGTCCATGTCCACGTCCATGTCCACGTCCACGTCCATGTCCACGTTCATGTCCATGTCCACGTCCACGTCCATGTCCACGTCCACCTCCACGTCCACGTCCATGTCCACGTCCACGTCCACGACCACTTCCATGTCCACGTCCATGTCCACGTCCACGTCCACGTCCACGTCCACGTCCATGTCCACTTCCATGTCCGCGTCCACGTCCACGTCCACGTCCATGTCCACGTCCACGTCCATGTCCAAGTAAACGTCCACGTCCACGTCCCCGTCCACGTCCACGTCCACGTCCACGTCCACGTCCATGTCCACGTCCACGTCCACGTCTACGTCCACGTCCACGTCCACGTCCATGTCCACGTCCACGTCCACGACCACGTCCATGTCCACGTCCACGTCCACGTCCATGTCCACGTCCATGTCCACGTCCACGTCCACGTCCATGTCCACGTCCATGTCCACGTCCACGTCCACGTCCATGTCCACGTCCACGTCCATGTCGACGTCCACGTCCACGTCCACGTCCCTGTCCACGTCTACGTCCATGTCCACATCCACGTCCATGTCCACGTCCACGTCCACCTCCATGTCCACGTCCACGACCATGTCTACGTCCACGTCCACGTCTACGTCCACGTCCACGACCACGACCACGTCCACGTCCACGTCCACGTCCACGTCGATGTCCACGTCCACGTCCACGACCACGTCGATGTCCACGTCCACGTCCATGTCCACATCCACGTCCACGTCCACGTCTACGTCCATGTCCACGTCGACGTCCACGTCGATGTCCACGTCCACGTCCACGTCCATGTCCACGTCCACGTCCACGTCCACGTCCACGACCACGTCCACGTCCACGTCCATGTCCACGTCCACGTCCACGTCCACGTCCACCTCCACGTCCATGTCAACGTCCACGTCCATGTCCACGACCATGTCCACGTCCATGTCCACGTCCACGTCCACGTCCACGTCCAGGTCCACGTCCACGACCATGTCCACGTCCACATCCACGTCCATGTCCAGGTCCACGTCCACGTCCACGTCCACATCCACGCCCACGTCCACGTCTATGTCCACGTCCTCGTCCACGTCCACGTCCATGTCCACGTCCACGTCCACGTCCACGACCACGTCCACGTCCACGTCCACGTCCATGTCCACGTCCACGTCCACGTCCACGTCCACATCCACGTCCACGTCCATGTCCACGTCCACGTCCACTTTGACGTCCACGTCCATGTCCACTTCCACGTCTACGTTTACGTCCACGTGCACGTCCATGTCCACATCCACGTCCATCTCCACGTCCACGTCCATGTCCACGTCCACGTCCATGTCCACGTCCACGTCCACGTCCACGTCCACGTCCACGTCCACGTCCATGTCCACGTTCATGTCCACCTCCACGTCCACGTCCACGTCCATGTCCATCTCCACGTCCATGTCCACGTCCACGTCCACGTCCATGTCCACGTCCACGTCCACGTCCTCATCCACGTCCATGTCCACGTCCATGTCCACGTCCACGTCCACGTCCACTTCGACATCCACATCCATGTCCTCGTCCACGTCTACGTCCACGTCCACGTCCACGTCCATGTCCACGTCCACGTCCACGTCCACGTCCACGTCCATGTCCACGACCACGTCCACGTCCACGTCTACGTCTACGACCATGTCCACGTCCACGACCACGTCCACGTCCACGTCCACGTCCACGTCCACGTCGACGTCCACGTCCACGTCCACGTCCACGTCCATGTCCACGTCCACGTCCACGACCACGTCCACGTCCATGTCCAGGTCCACGTCCACGTCCATGTCCACATCCACCTCCACGTCCACGTCCATGTCGACGTCCACGTCCACGTCCACGTCCCAATCCACGTCCACGTCCAAATCCACGCCCACGTCCATGTCCACGTCCATGTCCACGTCCATATCCACGTCCACGTCCACGTCCACGTCCATGTCCATGTCCACGTCCACGTCGACGTCCACGTCCAAGTCCATGTCCACGTCCACGTCCATGTCCACGTCCAAGTCCTCCACATCCACGTCCACGTCCATGTCCACGTCCACGTCCACGTCCATGTCCACGTCGACGTCCACGTCCACGTCCACGTCCAGTCCACGTTCAAGTCCTCCAAGTCCACGTCCACGTCCACGTCCATGTCCACGTCCACGTCTACGACCACGTCCATGTCCACGTCCACGTCCATGTCCACGTCCATGTCCACATCCACGTCCAAGTCCACGACCACGTCCACGTCCACGTCCACGTCCATGTCCACGTCCACGTCCACGTCCATGTCCACGTCCATGTCCACGTCCACGTCCATGTCCACGTTCATGTCCATGTCCACGTCCACGTCCATGTCCACGTCCACCTCCACGTCCACATCCATGTCCACGTCTACGTCCATGTCCACGTCCACGTCTACGTCCACGTCCATGTCCACGTCCATCTCCACGTCCACGTCCACATCCACGTCCACGTCCACGTCCATGTCCACGTCCACAACCAGGTCGATGTCCACGTCCATGTCCACGTCCACGTCCACCTCCACGTCCACGTCCATGTCGACGTCCACGTCCACGTCCACGTCCATGTCCACGTCCACGTCCACGTCCAAATCCACGTCCTTGTCCACGTCCATGTCCACGTCCTCGTCCACCTCCATGTCCACGTCCACGTCCACGTGCATGACCACGTCCACGTCCACATCCACGTCCATGTCCACGTCGACGTCCACGTCCACGTCCATGTCCACGTCCACGTCCATGTCCATGTCCATGTCCACGTCCACGTCCACGTCCATGTCCACGTACACGTCCACGACCACGTCCACGTCCAAGTCCACGTCCACATCCACGTCCATGTCCACGTCCACGTCCACGTCCACCTCCACGTCCACGTCCACGTCGACGTCCACGTCCACGTTGACGTCCACGTCCACGTCCATGTCCACGTCCACATCCACGTTGACGTCCATCCACGTCCACGTCCACATCCACGTCCACGTCCACGTCCACGTCCATGTCCACGTCCACGTCCACGTCCACGTCCACGTCCATGTCCACGTCCACGTCCATGTCCACGTCTACGTCCACGTCCACGTCCACGTCCACGTCCACGTCCATGTCCACGTCTACGTCCACGTCGATGTCGATGTCCACGTCCACGTCCACGTCCATGTCCACGTACACGTCCACGACCACGTCCACGTCCACGTCCACGTCCACGTCCACCTCCACGTCCACGTCCATGTCGACGTCCACGTCCCTGTCCAAGTCCACGTCCATGTCCACGTCCATGTCCATGTCGACGTCCACGTCCACGTCCACGTCCCTGTCCACGTCCACGTCCACGTCCATCCACGTTCACGTCCACATCCACGTCCACGTCTACGTCCACGTCCATGTCCACGTCCTCGTCCATGTCCATGTCCACGTCCACGTCCACCTCCATGTCCACGTCCACGTCCACATCCATGTCCAGGTCCACGTCCACGTCCACGTTCATGTCCACGTCCACGTCCACGTCCATGTCCACGTCCACGTCCACGTCCACGTCCATGTCCACGTCGACGTCCACGTCCACGTCCACGTCCACGTCCAGTCCACGTTCAAGTCCTCCACGTCCACGTCCACGTCCATGTCCACGTCCACGTCTACGACCACGTCCATGTCCACGTCCACGTCCACGTCCATGTCCACGTCCACGTCCACGTCCATATCCACGTCCACGTCCACGTCCACGTCCACATCCACGTCCACGTCCACGTCCACGTCCATGTCCACGTCCACGTCCACGTCCATGTCCACGTCCAAGTCCTCCACATCCACGTCCACGTCCATGTCCACGTCCACGTCCAGGTCCACGTCCACGTCCACGTCCATGTCCACGTCGACGTCCACGTCCACGTCCACATCCACGACAACGTCCACGTCCACGTCTACGTCCACATCCATGTCCACGTCCACATCCACGTCCACGTCCACGTCCACCTCCACGTCCACGTCCATATCCACGTCCACGTCCACGTTCATGTCCACGTCCACGTCCACGTCCATGTCCACGTCCAGGTCCACGTCCACGTCTACGTCCATGTCCACGACCACGTCCATGTCCACGTTCACGTCCACGTCCACGTCCAAGTCCTCCACGTCCACGACCACGTCCATGTCCACGTCCACCTCAACGTCCACCTCCTCCACGTCCATGTTCACGTCCACGTCCACGACCACGTCCATGTCCACGTCCACGTCAACGTCCACGTCCTCCACGTCCACGTCCACGTCCCTGTCCATGTACACGTCCACGTCCACGTCCACGTCCACGACCACGTCCACGTCCACGTCCCTGTCCACGTCCACGTCCATGTCCACGTCCACGTCCATGTCGACGTCCACGTCCACGTCCCTGTCCACGTCCACGTCCACGTCCATGTCCACGTCCACGTCCATGTCCACGTCCACGTCCATGTCCACGTCCAAGTCCACGTTCAAGTCCTCCACGTCCACGTCCACGTCCACGTCCATGTCCACGTCCACGTCCACGACCACGTCCACGTCCACGTCCATGTCCAGGTCCACGTCCACGTCCATGTCCACATCCACCTCCACGTCCACGTCCATGTCGACGTCCACGTCCACGTCCACGTCCCTGTCCACGTCCACGTCCAAATCCACGCCCACGTCCATGTCCACGTCCATGTCCACGTCCATATCCACGTCCACGTCCACGTCCACGTCCATGTCCACGTCCACGTCCACGTCCACGTCCAAGTCCATGTCCACGTCCACGTCCATGTCCACGTCCAAGTCCTCCACATCCACGTCCATGTCCATGTCCACGTCCACGTCCACGTCCACGTCCATGTCCACGTCGACGTCGACGTCCACGTCCACGTCCACGTCCAGTCCACGTTCAAGTCCTCCAAGTCCACGTCCACGTCCACGTCCATGTCCACGTCCACGTCGAGGACCACGTCCACGTCCACGTCCACGTCCATGTCCACGTCCATGTCCACATCCACGTCCACGTCCACGACCACGTCCACGTCCACGTCCATGTCCACGTCCACGTCCACGTCCACGTCCATGTCCACGTCCATGTCCACGTCCACGTCCATGTCCACGTTCATGTCCATGTCCACGTCCACGTCCATGTCCACGTCCACCTCCACGTCCACATCCATGTCCACGTCTACGTCCATGTCCACGTCCACGTCTACGTCCACGTCCATGTCCACGTCCATCTCCACGTCCACGTCCACATCCACGTCCACGTCCACGTCCATGTCCACGTCCACGTCCAGGTCGATGTCCACGTCCATGTCCACGTCCACGTCCACCTCCACGTCCACGTCCATGTCGACGTCCACGTCCACGTCCACGTCCATGTCCACGTCCACGTCCACGTCCAAATCCACGTCCTTGTCCACGTCCATGTCCACGTCCTCGTCCATGTCTACGTTCATGTCCACGTCCACGTCCACGTGCATGACCACGTCCATGTCCACATCCACGTCCATGTCCACGTCGACGTCCACGTCCACGTCCATGTCCACGTCCACGTCCATGTCCATGTCCACGTCCACGTCCACGTCCATGTCCACGTAAACGTCCACGACCACGTCCACGTCCACGTCCACGTCCACGTCTATGTCCACGTCCACGTCCACGTCCACCTCCACGTCCATGTCCACGTCCACGTCCACGTCCACGTTGACGTCCACGTCCACGTCCATGTCCACGTCCACGTCCACGTTGACGTCCATCCACGTCCACGTCCACATCCACGTCCACGTCCACGTCCACGTCCATGTCCACGTCCACGTCGACGTCCACGTCCACGTCCACATCCACGTCCATGTCCACGTCCACGTCCATGTCCACGTCTACGTCCACGTCCACGTCCACGTCCACGTCCATGTCCACGTCTACGTCCACGTCCATGTCCATGTCCACGTCCACGTCCACGTCCATGTCCACGTACACGTCCATGACCACGTCCACGTCCACCTCAACGTCCACGTCCACGTCCACGTCCACGTCCACCTCCACGTCCACGTCCATGTCAACGTCCACGTCCCTGTCCACGTCCACGTCCATGTCCACGTCCATGTCCATGTCGACGTCGACGTCCACGTCCACGTCCCTGTCCACGTCCACGTCCACGTCCATCCACGTTCACGTCCACATCCACGTCCACGTCTACGTCCACGTCCACGTCCATGTCCACGTCCTCGTCCATGTCCATGTCCACGTCCACGTCCATGTCGACGTCCACGTCCACGTCCACGTCCCTTTCCATGTCCACGTCCACGTCCATGTCCACGTCCACGTCCATGTCCACGTCCACGTCCATGTCCACGTCCAAGTCCACGTTCAAGTCCTCCACGTCCACGTCCACGTCCACGTCCATGTCCACGTCCACGTCCACGACCACGTCCACGTCCATGTCCAGGTCCACGTCCACGTCCATGTCCACATCCACCTCCACGTCCACGTCCATGTCGACGTCCACGTCCACGTCCACGTCCCTGTCCACGTCCACGTCCAAATCCACGCCTACGTCCATGTCCACGTCCATGTCCACGTCCATATCCACGTCCACGTCCACGTCCACGTCCACGTCCATGTCCACGTCGACGTCCACGTCCACGTCCACGTCCAAGTCCATGTCCACGTCCACGTCCATGTCCACGTCCAAGTCCTCCACATCCACGTCCACGTCCATGTCCAGGTCCACGTCCACGTCCACGTCCATGTCCACGTCGACGTCCACGTCCACGTCCACGTCCACGTCCAGTCCACGTTCAAGTCCTCCAAGTCCACGTCCACGTCCACGTCCATGTCCACGTCCACGTCTACGACCACGTTCACGTCCACGTCCATGTCCACGTCCATGTCCACATCCACGTCCACGTCCACGACCACGTCCACGTCCACGTCCACGTCCATGTCCACGTCCACGTCCACGTCCACGTCCATGTCCACGTCCATGTCCACGTCCACGTCCATGTCCACGTTCATGTCCATGTCCACGTCCACGTCCATGTCCACGTCCACCTCCACGTCCACATCCATGTCCACGTCTACGTCCATGTCCACCTCCACGTCTACGTCCACGTCCATGTCCACGTCCATCTCCACGTCCACGTCCACATCCACGTCCACGTCCACGTCCATGTCCACGTCCACGTCCAGGTCGATGTCCACGTCCATGTCCACGTCCACGTCCACCTCCACGTCCACGTCCATGTCGACGTCCACGTCCACGTCCACGTCCATGTCCACGTCCACGTCCACGTCCAAATCCACGTCCTTGTCCACGTCCATGTCCACGTCCTCGTCCACCTCCATGTCCACGTCCACGTCCACGTCCATGTCCACGTCCACGTCCACGTCTACGTTCATGTCCACGTCCACGTCCACGTGCATGACCACGTCCATGTCCACATCCACGTCCATGTCCACGTCGACGTCCACGTCCACGTCCATGTCCACGTCCACGTCCATGTCCATGTCCACGTCCACGTCCACGTCCATGTCTACGTACACGTCCACGACCACGTCCACGTCCACGTCCACGTCCACGTCCACGTCCATGTCCACGTCCACGTCCACGTCCACCTCCACGTCCACGTCCACGTCCACGTCCACGTCCACGTTGACGTCCACGTCCACGTCCATGTCCACGTCCACGTCCACGTTGACGTCCATCCACGTCCACGTCCACATCCACGTCCACGTCCACATCCACGTCCACGTCCATGTCCACGTCCACGTCGACGTCCACGTCCACGTCCACGTCCATGTCCACGTCCACGTCCATGTCCACGTCTACGTCCACGTCCACGTCCACGTCCACGTCCACGTCCATGTCCACGTCTACGTCCATGTCCATCTCCATGTCCACGTCCACGTCCACGTCCATGTCCACGTAAACGTCCACGACCACGTCCACGTCCACGTCCACGTCCACGTCCACCTCCACGTCCACGTCCATGTCGACGTCCACGTCCCTGTCCACGTCCACGTCCATGTCCACGTCCATGTCCATGTCGACGTCCACGTCCACGTCCACGTCCCTGTCCACGTCCACGTCCACGTCCATCCACGTTCACGTCCACATCCACGTCCACGTCTACGTCCACGTCCACGTCCATGTCCACGTCCTCGTCCATGTCCATGTCCACGTCCACGTCCACCTCCATGTCCACGTCCACGTCCACATCCATGTCCACGTCCACGTCCACGTCCACGTTCATGTCCACGTCCATGTCCACGTCCACGTCCACGTCCACGTCCATGTCCACGTCGACGTCCACGTCCACGTCCACGTCCACGTCCAGTCCACGTTCAAGTCCTCAACGTCCACGTCAACGTCCATGTCCACGTCCACGTCTACGATCACGTCCATGTCCACGTCCACGTCCACGTCCATGTCCATGTCCACGTCCACGTCCACGTCCACCTCCACGTCCACGTCCATGTCGACGTCCATGTCCACGTCCACGTCCCTGTCCACGTCCACGTCCATGTCCACGTCCACGTCCATGTCCATGTCCACGTCCACGTCCACGTCCACATCCACGTCCACGTCCACGTCCACGTCCATGTCCACGTCCACGTCCACGTCCATGTCCACGTCCAAGTCCTCCACATCCACGTCCACGTCCATGTCCACGTCCACGTCCAGGTCCACGTCCATGTCCACGTCCACGTCCATGTCCACGTCCAAGTCCTCCACATCCACGTCCACGTCCATGTCCACGTCCACGTCCAGGTCCACGTCCACGTCCACGTCCATGTCCACGTCGACGTCCACGTCCACGTCCACGACAACGTCCACGTCCACGTCCACGTCCACGTCCACCTCCACGTCCACGTCCATATCCACGTCCACGTCCACGTCCACGTTCATGTCCACGTCCACGTCCACGTCCACGTCCATGTCCACGTCGACGTCCACGTCCATGTCCACGTCCACGTCCACGTCCACGTCCATGTCCACGTCCACGTCCACGTCCACGACCATGTCCACGTCCATGTCCACGTCCAGGTCCACGTCCAGGTCCACGTCCACGACCATGTCCTCGTCCACATCCACGTCCAAAATAAAAATTGCAAAAATAGCAAGAACAAGGCCCTAGCGTGTGCAAAATAAAAAGAACAAGGGCATAGCGTGTGCAAAATAGCAAGAACAAGGCCCTATCGTATGCAAAATAAAAAGAACAAGGGCCTAGCATGTGCAAAATTGCAAGAACAAGGGCCTAGCGAGCGCAAAATAGCAAGAGCAAGGGCCTAGCATGTGCAAAAAACAAGAACAAGGGTCTAGCGTTCGCGAAATTGCAATAACAAGGGCCAAGCGTGTGCAAAATAAAAAGAACAAGGGTCTAGCATGTGCAAAATTGCAAGAACAAGGGCCAGGCGTGTGCAAAATAAAAAGAACAAGGCCATGGCGTGTGCAAAATAGCAAGAACAAGGTCTTAGCGTATGCAAAATAAAAAGAACAAGGGCCTAACGTGTGCAAAATTGCAAGAACAAGGGCCTAGCAAGTGCAAAATAGCAAGAGCAAGGGCCTAGCGTGTGCAAGAAACCAAGAACAAGGACCTAGCATTCGCGAAATAGCAAGAACAAGGGCCTAGCGTGTGCAAAATAAAGAGAACAAGGGTCTAGCATGTGCAAAATTGCAAGAACAAGGGCCTAGCGTGTGCAAAATAAGAAGAACAAGGGCATAGTGTGTGCAAAATAGCAAGAACAAGGGCCTAGCGTGTGCAAAATAAAAAGAACAAGGGCCTTGCGTGTGCAAAATAATAAGAACAAGGACCTAGCGTGTGCAAAATAAAAAGAACAAGGACCTAGCGTGTGCAAAATAAAAATAACAAGGGCCTAGCGAGTGCAAAATAGCAAGAGCAAGGGCCTAGCGTGTGCAAAATAAAAAGAACAACAAGCCTATCGTGTGCAAAATTGCAAGAACAAGGGCCTAGCGTGTGCAAAATAAAAAGAACAAGGGCCTTGCGTGTGCAAAATAATAAGAACAAGGACCTAGCGTGTGCAAAATAAAAAGAACAAGGACCTAGCGTGTGCAAAATAAAAATAACAAGGGCCTAGCGAGTGCAAAATAGCAAGAGCAAGGGCCTAGCGTGTGCAAAATAAAAAGAACAACAAGCCTATCGTGTGCAAAATTGCAAGAACAAGGGCCTAGCGTGTGCAAAATAAAAAGAACAAAGGCCTAGCGTGTGCAAAAAATCAAGAACAAGGGCCTAGCGTTCGCAAAATAGCAAGAACAAGGGCCTAGCGTGTGCAAAATAAAAAGAACAAGGGCCTAGCGTATGCAAAATAAAAAGAACAAGGGCCTAGCGTGTGCAAAATTGCAAGAACAAGGGCCTAGCATGTGCAAAATAGCAAGAACAAGGGCCTAGCGTGTGCAAAATAAAAAGAACAAGGGTCTAGCATGTGCAAAATTGCAAGAACAAGGGCCAAGCATGTGCAAAATAAAAAGAACACGGGCATAGCGTGTGCAAAATAGCAAGAATAAGAGCCTAGCTTGTGCAAAATAAAAAGAACAAGGGCCTAGCGTGTGCAAAATTGCAAGAACAAGGGCCTAGCGTGTGCAAAATTGCAAGAACAAGGGCCTAGCGCGTGCAAAATTGCAAGAACAAGGGCCTAGCAAGTGCAAAATAGCAAGAGCAAGGGCCTAGCGTGTGCTAAAAATCAAGAACATGGACCTAGCGTTCTCGAAATAGCAAGAACAAGGGCCTAGCATGTGCAAAAAAAAAAAGAACAAGGGTCTAGCATGTGCGAAATTGCAAGAACAAGGGCCTAGCGTGTGCAAAATAAAAAGAACAAGTCATAGCGTGTGCAAAATAGCAAGAACAAGGGCCTAGCGTGTGCAAAATAAAAAGAACAAGGGCCTAGCCTGTGCAAAATTGCAAGAACAAGGGCCTAGCGAGCGCAAAGTAGCAAGAGCAAGGGCTAGCGTGTGCAAAAAATCAATATAAAGGGCCTAGCGTTCGCGAAATAGCAAGAACAAGGGCCTAGCGTGTGCAAAATAAAAAAAAACAAGGGTCTAGCATGTGAAATATTGCAAGAACAAGGGCCTAGTGTGTGCAAAAAATAAGGACAAGGGCATAGCGTGTGCAAAATAGCAAGAACAAGGGCCTAGCGTGTGCAAGATAAAAAGAACAAGGGCCTAGGGTGTGCAAAATAAAAAGAACAACGGCCTATCGTGTGCAAAATTGAAAGAACAAGGTCATAGCGTGTGCAAAATTGCAAGAACAAGGGCCTAGCGTGTGCAAAATAAAAAGAACAAGGGCCTAGCGTGTGCAAAAAATCAAGAACAAGGGCCTAGCGTTCGCAAAATAGCAAGAACAAGGGCCTAGCGTATGCAAAATAAAAAGAACAAGGGCCTAGCGTGTGCAAAATTGCAACAACAAGGGCCTAGCGTGTGCAAAATAGCAAGAACAAGGGCCTGGCGTGTGCAAAATAAAAAGAACAAGGGTCTAGCATGTGCAAAATTGCAAGAACAAGGGCCAAGCATGTGCAAAATAAAAAGAACACGGGCATAGCGTGTGCAAAATAGCAAGAATAAGAGCCTAGCGTGTGCAAAATAACAAGAACAAGGGCCTAGCGTGTGCAAAATTGCAAGAACAAGGGCCTAGCGTGTGCAAAATTGCAAGAACAAGGGCCTAGCGCGTGCAAAATTGCAAGAACAAGGGCCTAGCAAGTGCAAAATAGCAAGAGCAAGGGCCTAGCGTGTGCTAAAAATCAAGAACAAGGACCTAGCGTTCGCGAAATAGCAAGAACAAGGGCCTAGCATATGCAAAAAAAAAAAAGAACAAGGGTCTAGCATGTGCAAAATTGCAAGAACAAGGGCCTAGCGTGTGCAAAATAAAAAGAACTAGTCATAGCGTGTGCAAAATACCAAGAACAAGGGCCTAGCGTGTGCAAAATAAAAAGAACAAGGGCCTAGCATGTGCAAAATTGCAAGAACAAGGGCCTAGCGAGCGCAAAGTAGCAAGAGCAAGGGCTAGCGTGTGCAAAAAATCAATATAAAGAGCCTAGCGTTCGCGAAATAGCAAGAAAAAGGGCCTAGCGTGTGCAAAATAAAAAAAACAAGGGTCTAGCATGTGAAACATTGCAATAACAAGGGCCTAGTGTGTGCAAAAAAAAAAGGACAAGGGCATAGCGTGTGCAAAATAGCAAGAACAAGGGCCTAGCGTGTGCAAGATAAAAAGAACAAGGGCCTAGGGTGTGCAAAATAAAAAGAACAACGGCCTATCGTGTGCAAAATTGCAAGAACAAGGTCCTAGCGTGTGCAAAATTGCAAGAACAAGGGCCTAGCGTGTGCAAAATAAAAGAACAAGGGCCTAGCGTGTGCAAAAAATCAAGAACAAGGGCCTAGCGTTCGCAAAATAGCAAGAACAAGGGCCTAGCGTGTGCAAAATAAAAAGAACAAGGGCCTAGCGTATGCAAAATAAAAAGAACAAGGGCCTAGCGTGTGCAAAATTGCAAGAACAAGGGCCTAGCATGTGCAAAATAGAAAGAACAAGGGCCTAGCGTGTGCAAAATAAAAAGAACAAGGGTCTAGCATGTGCAAAATTGCAAGAACAAGGGCCAAGCATGTGCAAAATAAAAAGAACACGGGCATAGCGTGTGCAAAATAGCAAGAATAAGAGCCTAGCGTGTGCAAAATAAAAAGAACAAGGGCCTAGCGTGTGCAAAATTGCAAGAACAAGGGCCTAGCCTGTGCAAAATTGCAAGAACAAGGGCCTAGCGCGTGCAAAATTGCAAGAACAAGGGCCTAGCAAGTGCAAAATAGCAAGAGCAAGGGCCTAGCGTGTGCAAAAAATCAAGAACAAGGACCTAGCGTTCGCGAAATAGCAAGAACAAGGGCCTAGCATGTGCAAAAAAAAAAACGAACAAGGGTCTAGCATGTTCAAAATTGCAAGAACAAGGGCCTAGCGTGTGTAAAATAAAAAGAACAAGGGCATAGCGTGTGCAAAATAGCAAGAACAAGGGCCTAGCGTGTGCAAAATAAAAAGAACAAGGGCCTAGCGTGAACAAAATTGCAAGAACAAGGGCCTAGCATGTGCAAAATTGCAAGAACAAGGGCCTAGCGAGTGCAAAGTAGCAAGAGCAAGGGCTAGCGTGTGCAAAAAATTAATATAAAGGGCCTAGCGTTCGCGAAATAGCAAGAACAAGGGCCTAGCGTGTGCAAAATAAAAAAAACAAGGGTCTAGCATGTGAAAAATTGCAAGAACAAGGGCCTAGTGTGTGCAAAATAAAAAGAACAAGGGCCTAGCGTGTGCAAGATAAAAAGAACAAGGGCCTAGGGTGTGCAAAATAAAAAGAACAACGGCCTATCGTGTGCAAAATTGCAAGAACAAGGTCCTAGCGTGTGCAAAATTGCAAGAACAAGGGCCTAGGGTGTGCAAAATAAAAAGAACAACGGCCTATCGTGTGCAAAATTGCAAGAACAAGGTCCTAGCGTGTGCAAAATTGCAAGAACAAGGGCCTAGCGTGTGCAAAAAATCAAGAACAAAGGCCTAGCGTTCACAAAATAGCAAGAACAAGGGCCTAGCGTGTGCAAAATAAAAAGAACAAGGGCCTAGCGTATGCAAAATAAAAAGAACAAGGGCCTAGCGTGTGCAAAATTGCAAGAACAAGGGCCTAGCATGTGCAAAATAGCAAGAACAAGGGCCTAGCGTGTGCAAAATAAAAAGAACAAGGGTCTAGCATGTGCAAAATTGCAAGAACAAGGGCCAAGCATGTGCAGAATAAAAAGAACACGGGCATAGCGTGTGCAAAAAAGCAAGAATAAAAGCCTAGCGTGTGCAAAATAAAAAGAACAAGGGCCTAGCGTGTGCAAAATTGCAAGAACAAGGGCCTAGCGTGTGCAAAATTGCAAGAACAAGGGCCTAGCGCGTGCGAAATTGCAAGAACAAGGGCCTAGCAAGTGCAAAATAGCAAGAGCAAGGGCCTAGCGTGTGCAAAAAATCAAGAACAAGGACCTAGCGTTCGCGAAATAGCAAGAACAAGGGCCTAGCATGTGCAAAAAAAAAAAAAACAAGGGTCTAGCATGTGCAA